AGGGTGGCGCAAGTGCAACTGAAAAGGCAGCGGTGCCCGGAGCCAACGAGATGAACGTTTCCGTAATAAAAATCGTCAACCAGATCGTAGCTCACGTACCGATACGGGCCTGCACCACTCCCTGTCGGCCAATCAGGGCCTCCCGTCGGCTTAATGTATTCAAATGTAAGCGGTAGCAGTGTTTATGTCTTGACATTGCAAATTGTGCCGGCTAGGCCATAACTTATAGTAATTGCTCCGCGCCGGAGTAATTATTTATACACGTGATATAGCGTATAGAGGCCTCCATTCGCGGTTATTCCGCGCGGGTATCTGTATCTCGCTCGCTATAATTGTAAGCGTGAATATCGAAAAGGGGCTTATGGGGCCGCGATATTAATCTCGACCGTGCACGGACGAATCGGCGACTTCGATGCCTCGCGCGAGACACAAGACGGTATCCGTGGCGCAAGGAAAAACTACGTCGGGCCGAGGAACGATCGAAATCCGTCGCTCGTTTCCATTTCGTCGGGAACCGGGATCGATGATATTTGTTAAACTTTTGTTCGATCAGCCGTACAAAACAGAAGTAAAACGATAAAGTTGGGCGAGTAGTGAATATCGTAACACCTAAGGTATTGCATTTTCTGCTCTCCATTCGATTCTAAAGTGAACGAAAATTAATATTGACAACCGTAGTTTGATCTTTGATACGCCTGTTATTACATAATTCACTGTGAAGCTTTTTGCAACATACTGTAAGAGATTCGATTTAACGCTAGATTTGCGGCCATTGTTTGCATATATTTTTATCGAAATCCGTCATGTGGTTCTTCTTTCAATTAAAATATGTATTCCGTATCATTACATCGATCGAATTCAACATAAATTGCTATCAAATAATATTTACGAGTTCCGCGACTTTAAATATAGACTTCGTGTAACTATAAAGTATAATAATTTGTAAATCCAGAGCTAAGCATACAGTCTGAGAAGTAATTTTATTTTATTGCGTGTATAAAGTGTAAGGTCACTAGATTCTGGTCATATTCTGGTAGATAGTAATGAAAAAATTGAGGAAGTACGATTTAAGAGACGCTTATGCTGTATAATAGTCCTGATCACACTATTAGATCACATTTTCCAGTAGCTGTATTACGAATGCGGCGGCAATTATGAATCGTTCAATAAAAATGAGTGTGGTAAATTGCGTCTATATTGCTGCAATATGCCTCGCCATTAACTGTGTCATTTTGCATTATGTAAAATGACTAATGAAACAACCTTATCTAGTAATTACTTACGACTGGCCGAAGAAAAAAAAACTGTAATGTCAGAGTTTAATTTCAAAGAATACATCGATAATGTCGATTTTCAATTAATAGAATTATAACCTATGCAAATTTTAATGATAGTTAAAAGTAGTAGCTAAATATAAATATGAATTGTTCCACAGGAAGTTTTAAGGTTCTCGATTATTCCACGAGATATTTCATATTTTAAGTTAAGATATTACTTTATCCCAGCAGGTATTCGAACGTTTCACCATGAACGTTTTAAACACTTTATTGCTCGTTTCCTTATATTTTTCATTGCATTCGTAAGTTATATAGCAGTTACGTTTCGCATAACTTTTTCATTATTTTTTAAAACTCATAAAGATATGCTTCAAACTGATTTAATCTAACACTCGTAATAAGCGGAAGCACTCAAGACCCAAATGTATCACGAATCGATTGAAATATGTTTATAAATCATATTATTTACCTGGCACTGCTAACCACAGCCATCAGTATTGTGTAATTTAATGTGATGAATACAATTTCAACATGAAGAGTGAGCTATTTAATGCAAATATAAAATATGAAATTGCTCGTAAAGGGTAATGTTTTCAATTATCATACCTCAACACTTTTCTGATCGCATTTATGAAACGAATCAGTGTATATAAAAAAATTATTTCTGATTATTATTATTATTATTACTGGTTTTAATTTACTTCTGTTTATTTTAATAATTAACGAATCATGCAAATTAAACTGATCCTAATAAAAGATAAAGTCTAAGTTTGCACTTCATGAATATTTAAATCAAGAAATAAGGAACAAAATTTGTTAAATTTATTAACTGACTACAAGAATATTCAGTGTGATCCAGCTCTGTTATTCGATTATTCAAGATGTTAAAATTAGAATAATCGGGCTGTATTTAATAATAAATAACGAAAGATATCGAAATCTGAAGAATTTGGCATACTTCTGTAATCTATATTTAATCGATAACAATTTGGTACGATACTGGGGGGAGGTATCGACGCTATTATGAGTGTGTGTGTGGAAATGGAGAACAGTGGGAATGCGAGAGTGTGTGTATGGTGCGAATGCAATGCGAAACGATCCGAAGGATGACGAGATAGGCTAAAAAGGATATAAAAGAAACAGAGCAGGGCAAGAGATCGTGGAACAGGCATGTCAAACACATTTTGCCCGAGGGCCAATTTGCACTTTGCTACTATATCGCTGCTCGTAGATGTACAATTATTTAACAACATAAAAATATTGTACGGACCATTTGTCAGTTATACTAACGCCAGTCATTGCACCGTCAAGCAAACATATGTACAATTGAGAAGAATCCATTAACATCCACAAAAAGGAACAAAGATCTAACATAAAAAATGGTAAATAAAATTTATCATTTCTTTAGAATAAGAATAAGCACCATTTTCCCCCTCAGCTTTGTAACATAAATATCTAACTGAAAATGTTGAATAATAATATTGAATTTTTTTTATATACCTGGCACCAGTTTGAAAATTTTTACTAATCTGATCTACCATCCAGTTTTTTAACTATCGAAATTAAAAAATTACCATTTCAGTGGATACATAAAAAATCAAATTGTTATAAATTCGATTTAATACTTGCACGTTCGATACCGTTCGAAACCAATTTGTATTTACCAGCTGGTATCAATCACATTACCATGATATCATTTCCATCATTACATGGCATCGAACACGAAGATTTACGCGAAAGAACCACTAAAACCGCGTTGCAGAGTAGACCAGTAATTGTTTACTTTGTAATTATTCTTATAAACGATTAATAACAGTAACCTGTAATCACGAGATCCATAGTTTGTAATCATCCCATGAAATATTACCTGAGCTTCTTTATTATTAATTGATTCAATCGTAATCGAAAGTGTAATCATTTTGTGATTAATGATTAATGAGTTAAACCTGTCCGATGAGAACCTTCGCTTTCATAATCGATTACTCGGTAATCATAATAATTAATCACGCGGTAATCATAATCGTTTCTCATCGATCAGTATACATTTTGCTTGATACTACTGTACAGCACGAGTAGATGCAAAATAATATATAGGTCGATAAGGATTCATTATTCAAACGACTAATGCATCATCGAAAACCATCGCACGATGCTACACAATAAATAAAGAATTCAGAAAGTAATGCCTACAAAAGCAATTATAAAAATTCCAGAAGCGCCCAACCACACCTGTATCATTTCGTTTATGTGTGAATAATAGATAACACCTTATTAAAATAAATTTGAACGATTCCTTTAAGATGATGCCTAAGAGCACAAAAGCATGGATGTATCTTAAAAGCAGTAATATAACGGGATGCCAAAATGCCATTTATTCTATCTTCAACGAAGAGGTACATACTTATTTCTTAAAATATATTTCTTCCTCGAAGTTATCACGCTTGCATTATCTCCTAAAATAAAATAAATCCTAAACAAACCCTTACAGTTTCTCGTGAAACTCTGCTACAGTCGAACGTCCTCGTTCTCGACCCTACCGTGCTGCCATCCCACGTGGGGCAAAAGAACTTGGACTCGTATAAAAAAAATGCGAACACTTTTTTTTCAAATATGGCTACTTTTTCCAAATAAATCAATCCGAAAAGTAACACCCTTCGATAATAACAGAAGCTAAGAAATTCATAGACCGTGCGTGGACGCGTCGCCCCGTGCATGCTTTCTGCCACTGGGCAGAACGATAACCGTCCTTTCAGGGTAATAAATCAGCATCGAAATTAAAGATTTCGGCAACTGGTGGCTAAGAAGACAAGTGTACCTTCGCTAACGCTAAGGGCATTGAACAAATTTCACGGCGTCTGTCGATAAATCAGTTTAAGCAGTCGGCCGATGAGAAAGGGGGTGGTTTTGCGGTGTAACAGGTGGTTGAAATTCTCATTCGCCCCGTCTTTTTACTCCTTTATCGGCAAAAAGGGAAAGAATAAGTTCCAGTTTATGAATCGGAGCGCGTTTAACGCTTCTTAAAAGGATAAAGCCGCCCCGACGGCTTTTTTCCACCAGGGAAATTGCTGAACTTTATCCGAGGCCGTGGAACGCGTCGATAGAAACCGTAGAATTCGTCTTTTATCAACGTTATTTATAATTCGATAGAAACGATACGAAACGAAAGAATACTCGAAGGCGGGTCACCAAATTTCGTTTAACTTTTATTTGGGCGCATTTAATATTATCACAAACTGGCAATAGTAACTTAATCCTACGACAACGACAACGCTCCAGTTGCCCGACGAAAAACATCACGCGTTATCAAACTCTTAATGCAAGGTACAAATTAAATAAGGTCGGCGATTATTTACAAGATTATTCACAGGAAACTTATCGTACAAAATACCGTTAAAGCTTGTAAGTCTTCAAATGCTAGGATACAGAGTTATGTGCGTTCCCATTCTGAGGTTTATCCGCTTAGCAACTAATACCTTCTTCTTCGATTTGTCCGTATCTTGTCGCGAATCGACGGCCTTCGACTCTAACATTAATTAACTTACTCGCGAGAGATCTATATTCTAATAATAAATATAACAACCCTTATTCTAAACATAATACATCCGTACTCGAAACAAATTACAGCCCCGTCTTCTTTAAGGCACTATGTTATCCGATGTAAAGAGAACGAAAGACGACCGACAGTTACGGTCCGTTGGTCGCGTCGATCAGCGTCTTAGAATATACCTCGTGTAAGATACTATCCGACTTAATGAATACTTATTTGTACTAAGCAATCTAGGATCCTCCTTGCGTCATCCTCAACTTAAACAAAACGGTAGAAACGTTCTCCCTTAATCACCAAGGTCGCCACATATCGCCGTTTGCGCCCGAAGGGCCGGCTATCGCTACAAATTTCATAGGATTAGGATTAGAATTTCTATTAGTCGAGCAAGTTGCTGTTCCCGACAAATCCTCTCCGGAAACTGCTTGATCTTCGTCGGACTTTACGGGGCCGTTAGAAGAATCTACGGGCACCGTGGAGGTGATCGGCTCCTGGTACCTCGGTCTTTTATCCGAGATTACCAAAAGTCCGCCCGAATGGTGCCTCTTTATGCCTTCCCTTTTGCCCGCCAACAAACCAGACCGATTATAAGCCTTGTCGGTAATAACGGAAAGCGGTTGTCGCAAATTCAGCGCCATTCCGTTGTTATTCGCGTGCTCCGACGTGTCCGTGTTGTCCTTCTTGAGCGAGTAAGCCCCATCCGACTTGGAATCTATGAATATCGGTGACTTGCTGTCGCTGGTCGAGCTGATTTGCGGCTTCTGCGTTTCCGGCGACGAGGAGAAACTCTTGGAGGAGGCTGGACTCTGTTCCGGCAATTTGAACCGACGTTGCTGATGAACAGGCGATGGGGCCTGAGGATAGTTTTCCGACTGATGGCTCTCCTCGCCGAAACTGGACGTGGACGTGGTCGGGCTCAACAACGGGCTCTGGGGCCTGTGAACGGCGGTGAACGCGGACGAGCGACTGATTTTCGAGCTGGACTCCGGGACTGGCGGAAAGAATGGGAAGTTCGCGGAGATGGCCGCCGACTGGGGCACCAAAAGAGCTAGCTCCCCCGTGGGCAGTCTGCTCGGTATCAACTGAACGCCGTTTGGTATCTGTATCCTGGCACTTCCATTATTATTCTCGTCGCCATTCTGGAAATCGCTCTGGAAACCGACCTTCACCTCCGGATAGAGGCGCTCCGGCATGTAGGGCACGTAGTGGCTGTAGAATGGCGCCATTTGCTGGAGATTGCTAACGCAATTGTTCAAGTGTGATACCAGTCGTTGTTTCACAACAGGATCGACGTTCTCGAGGTGGCTGACGTACCGCGATACTTCGGTAGCACATTCAGAAAATCCGGTACGGAATTTCGTTAACACCGCCGGATCGGTAGCGACCGCCGTGCTCACTTGCTGACGTTGTACCGCTTGTAAATGCTTCACCGTCATCTCGAGGATATCGGCCTTCTCGAGCTTCGAATGCCTAGTTGGCTACAACAAAAAAAAAACATTGGTAATCCATCCGTTCGAACCGACGATATCATTTTTCGTTTTAACTTCTGTTCGCAGTTAGAGACTTAACTTTTAGTCATTTTTTTTTGTTTTCTAACAGTACGCGCGGGAGGTAAAAAAACATGCTAGCGCTCAATCGATACTTCAGGAGTCTATCGGAGCAGCAGGCGGTACAAGGGTGCCTACTTTATCGACCGATGGTCAAGGCGAAAAAGGAGTCGCCATGATGGAAAGGTCGTTTTCACCTTGTTCGGAGCTTAGTAATCACCCTGTACCCCGAGGGTGCGGTTCGCGAACAAACATGAATACCGATCGCTCATCCAAGAAATCTGTGACGCCTCGGTAACGCCCACGTAATTGCCTGCATACAACCTGCTTCCTTAATAACAGAGTGGCAACTTCAGTAGCCAGTACGAGCAATTTCGCAGTCAGCCTTCGGCTACGGTCGTGACATCATAAAGGAACTGTTTTATCAACTTTCAACGAGAATTTTTCAGCCGCAAATTATTTGTTAAATAAAAATAACGAAGCAACAGCCGACGATGGACACGCGTTTTACCTTCGAAGAAAGAAACGTTACAGGATCCGAATAAAAAAGCGAATCCCATCGTGGGAACCCGTTAGATCTTCGAGAGGCGAACCGACACATTTTTTCGTACTACGCCGCAACGCTAGCCCTTTCTGTATTCTTCGCATTCCCACTAACCTTTTAGGGATCAATAACTCAATGCAGTTCTACAACTTCGAAATCCTATTGTATACTTTCTATGCTGCGGCTTTCATCCCTGGATCAGCCTGGTGCTCGCATTTTTATGGTAAACCAGCGGTCACCTTCGAAATAAGCGTGGGAGTCGACGAGGAGATCGCTTACACAGCCCATTGAAGCTCCTCTGTTCCTGCCTTCTGCTACGAACGCGTTCCCAAGAGAGCAGAGATCGGTCCGTAGTCGTAAACGGGAATCGTTCGGAGAAAGGAACTTCGATCGCGTAAAGTGCGAACGAACCAGACCATCACGGTTTTCGATCAGAGGAAGAAAGCGTTGCCCTCGTCGGCGAGGGAATTGTCTCGAGGATACAGCGAATCGAAGAGACAAAGAATCGATACGGAAATCGATTTTCCCGCGGGCGAATTCGACACCCGTGAAGCTCGAGGGAGGATCGACACCTGCTAAAGGAGCGACTAAAAGGCGAAGGCGTCGGGCGTCCCCCGTTTTTTGCCGATCAGCGCCCGTTCTCGCGAGGCTTTGGATCCTTAAAGATGATACGGTCAACAAAGAGAGGCTGCAACCCGAGATGAGATTCTTTTTTCTTCGTAATAATTATTTGGAGGTTCCCACGAACGCGGGGGGCGTTTCGTACGAGCGAACGGGACGGACACCGGAGCGAGCAGGTAGCGGAAGTCATCTGGACGAGGAGAAGAGAACGGTGAGAGTGGCTCTCGTTATATTCCTGTATGAGAAATCAATCTCTCTGGATCGTGTTACGCGGCGAGGAGTCCTCTGTCCTCCCGGGAGAAAATCCTCGGTATTGGGAAATCTTCTCAAAATTATTCTATCCTCTGGTCGGCGAGAGTCTCACGAGACTCGAGAAACCGAACGATCTAACTGAAATATCTATGCCACCCAAAATACGCTTGATTAATTGAAAATTGGATAAAGCCAGTTTCGAAATTTTGTATGAGAATTTTACCAAAAATTCTATATAATCAGATATTTCCTTCGAAAATATGTATTCCGGTAAATTTCTGAAGATTCTACGTTCGAGCGACGAAAATTCGAGCGAAATTCTATCTACGTCCATTCGTTTTATTATAATTCATCGACGTTAGGATAACGGTCCAAATTGGTTAAAGTCATAATCGTCAGATAAAGCGCACCGAGCAATCGCTGCAGATTGTTTCGGTGCTCCCGGTATAAAGGTCAAGAGTCGATCTTTTAATTAAACTGATAGGAAGAGCGCTTAACGGATGTTGGGTAGAAGTGTTTGATCAGGCCGGCTCCTTTTTCCCGTGGCCGTCTTCCTCCTTGTGACATGATTTGTTTTAGACTGTAGAATCGGGACCGGCGGCATGAGGTGGACGGGTTTTGTTTTAGTGTTTTAGATGCCTCGGCGTGGGAACGGATGGTGGAAGCCCTCTGCCAACACGTAATCTCCACTGGAGACTCTACAATGGCACTTCAGTCCCTGAACGGTGTGCCAAACCAGTGTTGGGCACATTCCACTCGATCGCTTTTTTAAACGAATTTAATTTCGCCGAGCTCGCTTACGGAAGGTTAACAATAAAGCATGACAAAAATAATTTTTCCAGAAATTATTTAATTTTGTCGAAAAATTTCTCCACCTTCCTCTATTTTTTTCTCGAAAATACATAGGATTTCGAGGGTGTGTCTATTCACCAAAACTGATTGTAATTGACCCTCACAACAGAAAATAATTTTTCCAGAACGATTTGAAATTTTTTAATTTTATTGAAAAATTTGTCCACGTTCCTGAATTTTTTTCTCGAAAATACGTAGGATTTCGAGGGTGTGTCTATTCACCAAAAATGGTTGTAATTGCCCCCCGCAACAGAAAATAATTATCCCAGAACGATTTGAAATTTGTTAATTTTTTCGACAAATTATCCACCTTCCCGAATTTTTTTTTCGAAAATACGTAGGATTTGGAGGGTGTGTCTATTCACCAAAACTGATTGTAATTGACCCTCACAACAGAAAATAATTTTTCCAGAACGATTTGAAATTTTTTAATTTTATTGAAAAATTTGTCCACGTTCCTGAATTTTTTTCTCGAAAATACGTAGGATTTCGAGGGTGTGTCTATTCACCAAAAATGGTTGTAATTGCCCCCCGCAACAGAAAATAATTATCCCAGAACGATTTGAAATTTGTTAATTTTTTCGACAAATTTATCCACGTTCCCGAATTTTTTTTTCGAAAATACGTAGGATTTGGAGGGTGTGTCTATTCACCAAAACTGATTGTAATTGACCCTCACAACAGAAAATAATTTTTCCAGAACGATTTGAAATTTTTTAATTTTATTGAAAAATTTGCCAACGTTCCTGAATTTTTTTCTCGAAAATACGTAGGATTTCGAGGGTGTGTCTATTCACCAAAAATGGTTGTAATTGCCCCCCGCAACAGAAAATAATTATCCCAGAACGATTTGAAATTTGTTAATTTTTTCGACAAATTTATCCACCTTCCCGAATTTTTTTTTCGAAAATACGTAGGATTTGGAGGGTGTGTCTATTCACCAAAACTGATTGTAATTGACCCCCACAACAAAAAATAATTTTTCTAGAACAATTTGAAATTTTTTAATTTTTTCGAAACATTTGTCCACCTTCCTGAATTTTTTTCACGAAAATACGTAAGATTTCGAGGGTGTGTCTATTCACCAAAAATGATTATTATTGACCCTCGAAACAGAAAATAATTTTTTTAGAGTGATTTGAAATTTTTTTTTCGCCGAAAAATTTCAGCACTTACTCGAATTTTTTTCTCGAAAATGCGTAGGAATTCCAGGGGTGTATCTATTCACAAAGAAGACTGTAATTGATTTCCTCAACATAAATAATTTTCCCAGAACGATTTGAAATTTTTTAATGTAATTTTGTTAATAACTCAATCAACAAATTGATATTTTTGATTTTCGTCTTATTTTGGCTTCTAGAATCTTGCATTAAATTTTTTCTCAGGGGTGGCCGAATACCCTGTTTGAAGAATTGTTTGAGAAGGAACAACGTATTTCATTAAACGTTGAATAAATATTGAGAGGACTGTTTCGAGAACGTTAATGGAATGACAAAATAGTACGAACGTGTTTAAAAATCATCCGTAAGCCCAAATTTATGGCTGCAAATGGCAGAGTGGTCGGATGATTCAAAATGAATGGAACGCATTCGACGATTTATTGCTAAGTTCATACTGGGATTAATTTGCAAATTGGTTTGGTCGTCGTTTTCGAGTGTAATTTGATAACAGAAAAACACGTTTGGAAGTGTTTGTGCAAATCCCCGAAGAATAATTTGTCGTTATATAAATACTACATTGGAAACACAATTACGCTTGTAAAATCTCATTTCTCAAGCATACCATATATTTTATGTACTCTTGAAAGTCTAATAAAATTGCTATTAGGGTAATTTCTGTAACGCTATTCTATTACCACGAAGGGAAGCTCTACGCAGATTCTACATGAAGATATTATAGGACATACACATTACAAAAGTCATTAACGAATAGTGACGAACTCCAAAATGGAGACACTAAATAATAACTACTTTGGCACGATAAACAACTAAACACTGAAACAGTTATTTCCTGGTTAAAAAATCCAATTGTATTTTTGTAATCATATTCTTTTCTCAACTAAAAACTCACATAACCCGTCAATAAGTTGCAAAGAAGTCACGAAAAATAATTTTAGCAATTCCATCGATGCAACGAATCCCAATTAAAAATAGAAGATATTTTAATCTACCAATCGCTACGTTTCGCTATGAATTACACGATTAACGACCAGAAAGAAACGATATTTGAAAACGAAAGTGAATATTTAGCGAGCGGGTAGGAGAAGCTCGTTGCTTCTTCCGCGTCATCGATAACGCCGAATTTCGTAAAAATCTGCGATCAGGAATTATCAACGATAGGTCCCGTGGCTGGAGCGTGGCAAAAATATTTCCCCGTCCAACGTCCGTGGCTCGCCGGTCGAGTGAGGCTGCGCATATTTCCGCGTTATCTCTCGTAAACTCGGATCACGTCACCAGATAAGTCGCGCACCGGTCACGTTTTCCGCGGCACGTTTCGGGCGCGGGCGACAACGTGGATTCCACGAGCAACGGGCCGGAATCACGCGTATAGAAGCGCGGTCTCGTGCTATCGTTCGAGCGGTTTGCTGATGTCGTTCCTCGTCAAGAGAATTCCGCCGTTCGTTTCGCCGTGTCACGCGATTAAGAGATTAAACTGCGCCGCGTGAGAGCGGCCCGCGCGTATCTGCGCCCGACATCGGAACCGCTCCGACTCCGATCGATCGCCGCGCGAAATCACTGTTATCGGGCCAAGCCACGGGGACAGAGAGGATAGATAACAGGGCAATCGGTAGCTTTATTCGGTACTCACGTCTTTTTTCATCGCCTCGAGGATCAAGCTCTTCAGCTCGTCCAGGCACTGATTTATCCGAGCACGCCTCCGTTTCTCCATGATCGGCTTGTTGCTCTGCAATTAGGGAATCGTTTCAGATACACCGGGGAAAGCCTGGCGTCGACGTGTTCGCACGCGATTTATCGTGATAGCCCGGGCGTCTGATTTCTTTTTAAACAGTCCCGCGAGAATTCTCGTTTGTACGTAATTACAGCGACTGTTCTGTTCGCGTTCGAAGCTCGGTGGTCGTGATTGACGCAAGGCAGAGGCACCTGCTGGGCGACATAGCGGTAAAAATCGGGAGGGATCGACACACTCGCGTCACGACCGCCTCCGGAGAAGAAAAGGTATCAATTTAAACGCGATAATAGGGCTTCGCCAGGCGCTAAACGCGACAACGATCGGTCACAGGGACAATAATTTTAAACCGACTGGCTCTATAAATATGATTATCGATTTTGTTAATAAACGGAGAATTCTCGGCGACGAGCTGCTGATAATTCAAATTTATTTTTACCCTCCGTAGCTCCGCCTTGGACATCCCCGATTGCGTGAGGGGCTCCGGCTCGTCCTCGCTGCCTGACATCTTGTAATTATAATAATCCACCATTTATGCACCGTTAAGATCACTCGTACGAAGCCTCGAAAACAACACAAAAGGTTCCTCCGGGTTTCGCGGTCTTTCGACGATCAACGTCCCGCACACGTGAACTCAAACCGAGCTCGATGATCCATGCGAGTTCACGGGATTGGCCGTACGCGTGTCGTGCTCGTAAAACGTCTGAGAGTAACTGTCCTGACACAGGAACGAGGGGATGATCGCCGCTACCGGCGACGTCCCGCTTGGGGTGTGGAGGGTAACTGTTTGACGTTTTCGATTTCGAAGACCGCATGCCGATGCACTCGCCGCCTCCAGAGTGGGGCGAAGCATGTCCTGGAGTGGGGCACCCGGGTACCCACGGAGAGGGGAGGTCCTCCTGAGACCTGTTGATGTGTGGGAATTCACGCCGTACCCGGGACACGGAGATATAGCCTCCTCGAAATTTGAGTCGCTCTTCTGGTACGTCGCTTCGCATGGGCTTTACTCTTTCTCGCCCGGACGCGAAAGCGCGAAATACACGGGCTATATACCACATATTATACTTCTGGTCCGTCATGATCGAAGGAAAAAAAATTATCCCCATTTTTAATTAGGTGTACATAAAAGGCACGTGCAATTGTGCATCAGCTTTTCAGTGATATACAAAATTTTCTATGTCAATTTCGATCCAAAGTGGACCCTCCAAAGTGGAATCTTAGTTTAATTGTTGGACCCTAGGGGGCTCAATAATTCGCAAAGTTTTAAGAAAGCACGGAAAAGTAACGAAAATCTGTCGAATGATTCTGGATGACACTTAATGTTGATTTTTACCAAATTGGTAAATGGAAATCTACTTTCTTTCAAAATATTTAAAAAATAATGAGCTAATGAAGGATCACATAAATTTTCAAACAATTACATCGACATATATTAAACAATTTGCTTCGAAGCATTTTCTAAAAGAATAATTACCCTTCTTCCCTCTGTTTTTTAATCGCGAGGAGAAGAAACAGTTTTCGAACAGAAATTATTCCATCTCGGGAATTCGCAAAGTTTTAAGAAAGCACGGAAAAGTAACGAAAATCTGTCGAATGATTCTGGATGACACTCAATGTTGATTTTTACCAAATGGGTAAATGGAAATCAACTTCCTGTTAAAACATTTAAAAAATAATGAGGTAATGGAGGATTACATAAATTTTCAAACAATTACATTGACATATATTAAACAATTATTAGTTGAAACTTGCAGAGGCCCCAATAATTTTAATATTGCTTCGAAGCATTTTCTAAAAGAATAATTACCCTTCTTCCCTCTGTTATTTAATCACGAGGAGAAGAAACAGTTTTCGAACAGAAATTATTCGATCTCGAGGATTTGGAAATTTTTAAGTAACGAAAATGTGTCGAATGATTCCGAGCGGTATTTTGGAGCCGCGAACAAAGGAGAAGAAGGCACCCGTTGGTAATTGTGCTTTACATTTGCCGCGAATGTAGAATGGCTGGTGTGTGGATCGTTCTTTGGTGGCCTAAATTTGCTTTCCGGCCATTAAACGCGAAAAGAAGCGAGCCTGGTGGCGCAAAAAGTTCGAGTACCGCAAAGACGATCGCGTCAGCGTGAGTGCCGCGTTCGCAGGGAGCCACGCAACGACCCCGACCGCGGCACGGCAAAGGCGGTGCGACGGAGAAGGGCAAACACACCACACGCCTGACGTGTGTACGTGCGTCATAAGTGTGGCCGACGCGCGCAGCGCGATCCACCGCGCCGCAGGACGCGGAGGGCCACGATGTGTGGGAATTCTTCTGAAACGTTAAATACTGTTTACACGGCCGGGGCCAGCGACGCAATGTTCCGCGCTCGGCCGTTTCATCAATGAACTCTTTCTTTCGCGCGACGCTCTGTGCCGTGGCGTAGTGTTTTATAAGCGCAACGCCATGGGAAAATACGATATTGAATTGCACACGATTACCGCGACTGTACCGGGAACGACGCCGGTTATGTTTCATGCGTATAATTTTTTTATCTGAGACGCTTCCTCCCACCGTATTATTTTCTGTCTTTTACCCACAATTAACCGGCGGCTGTTGAACGAAGATAAGCTAACGGCTACAAATTCCTTGAACTCCGTACTTGTATTTATTTTGTCAACTTTTTTTATAACAATTTTATAATACACTGTAGATTGAGGGGGTCTTCTAGTGTGAACTTGGGGAATTTTTTGCGAATAAATTATAACATCTTTTGTAATAAAATTTACAGGGTATATTTGCACATGTTTGAGTGATATTTCAAAATTTTTGGAAAGAGAAAAAGTTAAAATTGGAGGCACTTTTTTATAGCAATTTTATAATACGCTGTAGACTCCCATTTGAGGGGGTCTTCTAATGTGAATTTGGGAAATTTTTTACGAATGAACTATAACACCTTTCGCAGTCGAATTTACAGGGCTTACTTGCACGAGCTTTAGTGACATTTTAAAAATTTTTTGGGCACGAGAAAGTTAAAATTGGTGGCACTGTATACTCTCAAACAGAGTCGGTTTTAACCCTCAAATGGATCATTGGGCCCTCCACAAGTTTAAACTAATATTGATAATATAATTTCTATTTACAAATTTGGTAAAAATTAACATTAAGTAAAATAATTCAGTTGAGATTGGTAGTCCAATTAAGGGTTGAAAAAGGTCGTTTCACGGTGTCCATGAAACGTGAAAGATTCTTAATTGGTATGAGCTTGGTTCTCAAAGTGTTAATGGATAAATGTATTATGCATATAAATATACTATCAGTGTTATTATTTACATACATATGAAAAGCAGATATAATATAGAAACTGCATACAACGTACACATTTTATCTGTGATTCTGTCACCTAAGCAAAATTAATCAGACTACTGTTTGAACAATAACGTAATAAATAGTGCATTTAATTACACAAGACTAATGGAATTTGTCAATAATTGTTCTCTTGGTCAATTATTTCACGATTTCCTTGAGTGCATTAACACTTTGACTGCAACGTCACCCATATATGAGTGACAGGATTCACCATTGTGATACTAGAAAAAATTAATTCTCAAGTTATGACGTTGAGGGAAATAAATTTAGATAAAATTTGTCAATTTTAACAAGATTAAAATTTACTTTTAATATGCAGCAAAATTTTACTTTTTGTGTTAAAGAAACTACGCCCATTAGTAAAAAAAGACTATTTCTAGTAGTTTATTTTGAAGATCCCAAACTACAAGAAAATGCAAAGAATTCAGTTTTTCGAGAGTGCTGGAGTAGACCCCCTTATTCGCCTAAGTGTCTCTCCCAGTCAACGACCCATCGAAACGTACGACGTCCACCGTCCACCGTCCACGGACAAGACCATTAATTTCAGTTCATTCGCGGAGATATGTCTGTATCTGTCTTGGAATCGCGGGGGATAGCCTGACGAGAAGGTGAAATAAATCAACGGGTCGAAAGGGCCGTTTACGTAGTATAAAGTCGGGTACGACGGGCAACGGCCCTGCTACGGCTACGGGGCCTCTAAAAGTAAAAGTTTTCCGGTGCAATAATCGCGGGTCATAAAGGTTTATCTGTTTATTGCGGCTGCCCATTGCCTCTTGAAATGGGTCGTAACTGATTTTGTCAACGAAACAAACGTCCGGCGTTTATTGTCTCGAGTCTACATGCTTGCCGTTCGTAAACGTGCTACGATCATCGTAAGAAGTTTTCTCGTTTTTTTTTATCGTTTTATAAGTTTATTGACAAGGTGTTACGGCGCGTAAGCGTGCCGCGCGTCAATAGCCGACACCGTGCTCGAATATTCCCGCTCGCGTAACTTATTAATAAATCGCCTGCTCTGGTCGCGAATAGTCCACCGTAATAAATATCGGAAAATAACGCGATCGTTGGGGAAAAACTGACCCTGTTCAGTATTTTACTCTATTCTCGTCGTGTCTCGCTTACGACTCGCTTAGACATTTACGACGGGTGCGAAGAAAAGCTTTTAAAGCCATGCAAAATTTCCTGCCGGCCACGATTTTTCGGTGCAACCGTTAAACTCTAGTAAAATTTTTAATTTTCTAGTTCCTCAAATCATCATTGTAATACATTAATTATTTTTTATATTTAATTCTTATAAATATTTCTTCGTGGTTAGTGGTTTCTAATCATGAAGCGTCAAAAGGGTGCAATATTTAAGGGTGCTTGTTCCTGTGAAGCAATTATAAATTGCAAAATATTCCACGACGCGATTACACGCAGCAACACTGGAGAAATTGAAGAGGCACGATATAGGCGACCGGTAGCCATTAGGTTCCTCTCTCCTGTAAGTGTTCGCGACAATGATCTCTTAAATGGTCAACTGCTGGTACGCGTATCTTGCTTATCTTCCAGCAGTTCCCACCGAAATCGTTCAGTTGTTTTGATCGTGCACACGAATGGATTCTGACTGCGAATAACTTGGCGACGCGTCATTGCGTCACAATGTGTCTCGCGATAGCTTCGCGATAAATCGGTTCTCGAAACAGCTGTGGTTCGCGTAACTTCCGTATCGAGGTTGCTCCCGTTGCATTATGCTCACGCATGCGAGGCAGATGCACGATCCCGCCAGCAATCAGAGAGGTCCCGCGCCCGGAGTCCGTGGTTGAGAAATCAAGATCCAGGCTCGATCGGATCACTGTACGAATAAAGAGTTGAAATCTCGTTGCGAGCGATCCGGCTACGATCTTTGTTTCTCGCTCTTTCGTCGTGCTCGCTGTTGGATCACTCTTCAGATCGTTGATAAAGAATTCAAATGCTCGGGGAATGTCTAGAACTCCTGACGTTTGCAAATTTCGTGGGGCGACCCTCGTTCGATGATTATCGAGACGGCTCGTTATAATGACATTAGGGTTGGGAATCGAGTGTATTCGTTTCCAGATGGAACACCTGAAAGTTTCGGGGCGAGAATTCCGTGCCGCGGTGGAATCTTAATTACACTCGTAAAGAATGTCTTTGTACGTAATAAAACACGAACCAGAATCGGATCTCTATCTTCG